CGGGTAGCTCTACCACGGAATCGCCATCGCTGGACAGCTCAGACAGCTCGACAAGTTCAGGTGAACATACATAGGAGGCAGTCGACAACTTGAGCCAAGACTGCAAGATATGTTTCTCACAACCATGCTTCCAACTGACAGTTGCAAAGTTGCCGCACAGGGGTTGACAAGCCCCTCTTGGACAAAGCTCCGGGTCCTTTGAGATGTGCTGAGGCTGGATCCACGGAGCCAATCCTGGAGTGTCCGGGACTTGGCATCGAATCCAACGGCAGCCGAAGTTGAAGCAGTCCGTCAGTGCCCCAAAGGTTGGCGTTCCACATCAGTTTCAGGCATAACTTCTTTAAAGTCTCTAAAGAAAGGATCCAAAGGCAACCTGGGCATGACAGAGACATAACATTCATAAAGATCATTCATAGATATTCATAGCATGGTCAATTGATGTCAACTGCATGTACATTTCCATGTCTCATACTGTAATATCTGAAAATAAGTAATGATCTACAGGGCACACGGATGATTACGGATGAATACGGTGAACATGAGTAGTATACCATATGCAGTCCAGTCTACAGGTTGGGGGGGTTGTTTTTGCATCCCACACCCTTGGTGTTTGTGGGTCCATGATCCCTTCTTTCAAGTGGCGTGATGTGTGCCAGAGCCGGGTCGATTTGCCTACTCATGTCGACCTTTGCTGCAGCATCCTGCAGTAAAAAATTATGGCAGCAATATATTGCCATACGAAACGCCTTTGGTGCTTGCTGGGACACATGCATCCTTACTGGCTGTTAGTTATGTAGAAGTGACCTCACCTCCAGATATGAAGATGGATGGATGTCTAGATTAGATTGGCTACAGTGCTTCGTCTTGCCTGGTACACGCTTCCAACCACATCCTGACACTAGCGTGCTTTGCAAACTTATGGTTAGATTATGGTTTGGGAGGTCCTGCTGTTTGGCGCCGCCTTAGCAGCTTTCAGAATTTAGGAGAAAAACATCATGCACTTTCTTGGCCAGGTCCCGCCGTCTATGGTCAACGATTTCTCACTGGGGGCGTGGCACCAAGAAAGAGTGAGGCAATGAGACTTCAAGTGTTTTTTGTCTTCCTCTTGTCTGAAGAGGGTGCAAAGGAGCAATGGATTTCAACTCCAGCGCACTTTGAGTGGTGAGGTTCGTCAATTACATAAGCTGTTATCATGTCTCACGTCGCATCGCATTATCTCACGAAATGGCACGTATAACCGTACGTATAGCTCCAAAACAGGGGCCGTCCAACGAGAGGAGTGGGAGGCGATGCCAACTTCCACCAGTCCCCAATGATTGATCGCGATGTGATGAGGATCAGATTTGTTTGGCAGACAATCACGATTCATGGCATACATCTCATCAGTAGAGACAGATCTCTGAATGTGGCATCACGCTCTCCTCATCCTCTAGGCAATGGATCTGGGTGGCTGCCTGGAGGACAACCTTGTGACGGCATGTCAAATGTCAACGCACTCACTGCAGAAAGTCAATACAGACACCCGGCAAAGCAGTAGTATCAACAGTGTGATCAGGGGTCTCAGTCTGAGCGGGAAAGAGTCTCAGAACCGCTAGGATGTTGAAATGGACCTGCACGAGTACCAGGCAGAGAATTGTTCTGCGGTGCCGTTTCGGATCGCATCCTAGGCACCAACGATTGTTTTTTGTTGCATCATTTTATGTGAGCACATTCAGGCACATCACGAGGAGCATCTCCGGTATATGCTTCAAGCGAAGATTCAAGGCGAGGTTTGGATGTCGCCTGGGCCTGGAGAGCGCCCGAACGGTGGATTTTAAGGCTTTGCAGTCTGTGGATGGGGACAGGGTCCCCCGAAGGTTGTGCAGCAGAAGTGTGATCAATTCTGAGAGGAGATCTCTACCAAACCTGGCATGCTGAGAGACATTGAGACATGCCCTGTCAGAGTCAAGTGTTGTGGAAAAGGGAATGGGTGATGTCTACCTCCCCAAATTGATCTAAATCAAGCCTTGTGAACTCAAACCAGCCTTGCTCACAGCCTGTACTGCTATAGTGTTGCAGATTATGCATGGAAGCTTGAGAATGATCAGAAATGACGCGTCACTTAGATCCCCTTAAAACGGTGGAATTGTCCACGTATTTGCGTCAAGCAGCACCAGCACCTCCCATTCACTGCAGTTGTTGATGACCTATCAAGATGCCATAAGATGCCACTGTAACATTGAGCTGCTATATCTAGTCCATGGTCTGGCTCTATGTGACTTGATTGGTTACAATGTGGGTTGGCTGCGCAGTGAAGTGCAGCCAATCTGGTTGCATTGATTGAATTCGATAAATATCAAACCTTTCTTCCTTTTCTTTTTAATTGTTTCTACTAGCAATGGCCTCGAACCCACTAGCGATGGCCTCCAACCTAGTAGTGATGGCCTCCAACCTATTTGCGATGGCCTCCCAAAAATGCAAACTGTCAGCAATGACCTTCTAACACATTGCCGATGACGCAAATGGACTCTCGGCGCCGGCGACGGCCTCCTGATGAAGGAGGCGACCACGGACCATGTAGGAGGCAAAGTTGGTGCAAGTTCTGACGTGTTGACGGGTTGATGACGCCAGAAAACGGTAGTGGAGCAGACTGTACAGGTGCATTGCTCAAAGTCAAGGATGACAACTGACAATGAACAATCCCCTCAAAAAGAATGCCACATTGGCTACCAACTAATGTCTATGACTATGAGCTGCGAGATAACTAGTAATTAACCATGTACAGTTTGCATCCATGTCAGGCGGTAGTCTTGGGCTTTGTCCATGTCGTGACGCCCTTAGAAACGTGGTCCTGCAGGGCTTGCCATGTTGAGCTCATGAACTCAAGTCATTACAACTTGAGCTCCAACTACTGCAGCAGCCCCAGGAACATACGTGCTGCTAGCAGTGATTAGTTTCAACGTCCTGCTCTTCATCTACAACTTCCCTGGCCTAGTGGCTGTCAAGCCTCATGGAAGCATCAGGAACTGAAACGAGGATCTTGAACTTGAAAGCATGTTACAGACAGTGCAAAAACCCCACGTACACACGACGCATGACCCAAGACGAGACACTTGGCCAGAAGAGAGAGAGAGAGAGAGAGAAAGCGGGGGGGAGGTTCCGTACTCATCCGGCTTGAACTTCGTCAAGTTGGAGCGAGGCCTTCCATAAACCAAATCACCAGCTCTTGGCTAGACAAGGATGAGGCGCACACAAGCAGTGAAGTGAGTGGGAGGGGAGAAAGAAGGGAGGCAGTGAATGGATGTTATTCTGAATGCTTTCGACATATGTCGATTGTGGACATTTTATCAAAGAGCTTGCACAAGTGCAGATTCTGAAGATTGCAACTGGCTTGGTGGGGGGAACTTGGACTAAGATCAAATGACACTGGACTGCTGCTCTAAGGCCCACCGTAGTCTTTGTAAACTTTCTGTACCACCATGTGTTGCGTGTTCAGTTGCACTTCATTGGCATTGCGCGAAGCGGATTTTGCAAAGGCAAAGTTTGATTTGGTGCTTGTGGTGATTCTTTTGCTCAGAACATGTCTGAACAAGCGAAAGCATCACGTAATGCAGAGCCCCAGGTGACCAAACTAATACAGGGCTTGGAAGTGAGAATTGCCAGGCCTTAGGAGGAAGTTGGGGGGGTGCGGCGGAGAAATTTGCATGAAACTGCTCCTATTGTGATGCTTAAGGGCGACTCTAGTGCGACTCTAGGGCTGCTAGTGATATCGTATGAGCTGGTCGTGCCGGTTGTACGGTTCTGTTTGGGGCCCAGCTTCAACCTGGAGAAGTCGAGAGATGTGAAAGTCTTCAGGTATAGACCTTTACTAGGAGCCTAGTGGCGATGGCCTCCAACCTAGCTTCTTGCTACTACTAGCTTCTTTCTCCTAATAGCCTAATAGCGATGCCAATGCCCGTTGTTCTTCAGGTTGGAAAGTGAAAGACCCTCGAGTACAGGACTGAACGACCCGCGTGTGACGTTGGACATTTGAGGCTTTGGATGCAGGCGCTCCAGACTGTGGGTACGCAGAAAGGGAATGCACCATTCGATTGAGACAGCACACCCAGAATGTCGTTGAAGGCTGCACGCATTGAACTTCTTGTGATATTTACAAGTAGAAGGAGCGTTGTTCCCTTCCAATTGCGGCTGGGGATTCTTTGCATGATTGTTTGCAAAGGAGCTGTAGGAACAGCTTGAAACATACGGCCTGGTTATACCTGGTTGACACTTTCTGTCATTGTCATGATCCGACATGCAAACATTGTCTCCAGCTTTTACCCGTTTTCGATGAGATCAGGCAAGAGCATTGAGGTACGTAACATATGGAGTTGATAGATTTGCATCGGTTTTGACCGTCCCATTGTTTCAGGACAAAAGCAAAGCCCTCCTACCTCAAGCCCAAGATCAACTACTCCAGCTACTCCAGCTCCCGCAGCATCAAAGCCAACAACACAGGCCGTCAGTGATGCCAGTGATGCCTGTAACTACGAGGTGTTCAGGACGCAAAACTCAGAACACGTTTAAAGATGTTGAAACAATCAAAGTCAAAGCATTTTAGAATAATGTTAAGCCAAAAGCAGCTCCAGCAGACTTGAATGCCTGCACTCTTTGTGGTAGGCTGTGCAAACTCCTGCTCCAAGCGAAACATCAAGCGGCAGGACTGGCATTCCTTGGATCAGAATCTGAGAGAGCGCGAGGGATGGAGGCAAATGTAAGTCCGTGAGGACAATCACTGTAAATGAACACCTTGTGCTTTCTTTATGTCAACGGATTTGATGTTAAAGAACATGTTTTCAATATGTGAGTTCCTGAGGACCATCATAGTAAAGTAAAACAGTAAAACTGTTTTGTTCTCCTGGTGTGTTTCAGTCCACTGCCTTTGCCTCCATCGCCTCCGATTTCAAGTCTTGTGCATGGCTGAGTGTGGGTGTGAGGAAGCAAGGAAGGGTAGCTGGTGCAAATAGCTTCTAACATGAAACATGCTCTTTGATTCCGCTGTCCCATTGTTTCACTTGGCCATAGATAAGGCGCCGGACATCACTCCACGCACGCGTGAGAATGGTGGCCTGCTGCACTTGCTGAGCCATCGGAGTTGCTCACAGGACGTGCGCTGCTAGAGTGTACTGGTCGGACGATTGTGTATGTCTAGCAATCTAGCTTGGACCAGGTGGAAAAGCTTTGGCATCTCGCTGTTAACCTGGGTTTGTTATAGCAGAGGTCACTATGTTTGCCACATACTCACTTTGTCAAATGGTGTGGCCTGTTGGCAGGACCAAAGTGCCAAGTGCAACCAGGGCTTCATCAAGGCGACCCATGCCAAAGTCGGAAGCCATCGGCCACCCTGTGTATTTAATGACGCTCTCAAACTGTACAAGTCCAGTGCAGGCCAGCGAGTCCCTTCCTGTTGGGCCAACTGTTGGGTGTGGCAGGAGATGGACAAAATGAGACAGGAGGCAGATACTGCGCCGGAGATTCAGGAAAGGCATTTGTACACGAGGCGTGGCGACAATCCACATGTCCAGGCCCCAAGTTGGATTTGCCATGTGGTAGATGGTATAGTAACAGTATAGCCTGCGTGGTTTGATGTACATAGCTGGTCAATGTTCCAGACTCTAGACCATTCCTGACCATTCCCACACCATGATGCCAGTCTTCCAGACGAGCTCATGAATGACCCGCGGTGGCAAACTCATATCAAGCTTTGGCCTCAGTTTGAGATGAGCACATTTTCTTGCGAAGTTGTGTTAAGCCAACTCTTTCGTTGTGGAAGTTTGAGCCTCACAAGATGGCAAGCCTTGCGTCTTAGAAGCCGTGAGCCCAAGGCCAGGTGTACGTGGGCGTGGCTACTGGTTTTGGAAGGCCAGAGGAGATGTTCAGTTGGTGCCATTTGCATGTATTATATATTAGTTAAACCGTTGCGTGAGAACAATGCATGCCCCATGCGTCAGACCAAGTTGTGTCTTTCTTTTTGGGGGGTGCTGTCACACTGTTGCAGGCAGCGCTGTCGCGGATGCTGTTGTCGCAAGGCGTCACTTCGCTGCAGAAAAGAAGTTATATTATATAAGTGAAGTTTCGGCCGCGATTGACGCGATTGGCATCGATTGGCCATTGGCAGAAAGACCAAGGTCCTCCAGATAGGGGATGAACTCCTTTATGCACCTTGGCATGTTGATGATCACTTCTTGGTAGAAGTCATGGTGTCAACCCTTGCATTCTTTCTGTATAAGCTCTAGAATCGCGAGATGATGAGCTATATCATGCTGCAATGGTACAACAGTAGAACATGCCCTTGCAGATTGTAAGCCTACAAAGATCTACAAAGCCTTGGGAGCACAATTCCATTAAAAGCAGCCCTTTCACCGGCAGTGAATGCCATTCCAGGCTTTGCCATCAGACCTTTTCTCATCAAAGTTGTCACGAAGTCTGTCTTGCTTTAGCAAGGAGGGTTGGGAATCCAGGACCCGAGTCCTAACCCCTGATACATCAGGGATATACCCCCCCCTCCGCGGGTTCAACTCTCCCCTTCCTCCCTGACCGTTTCTCAGTTCCCAACGTGGCCGCTGCTGCTGCTGCCTGTGTTGGGGTTGTATTGGGCAGGCACTGTTGGCACTCTCCTCTTGTGCCCTCGAACATGACATGTTGCGACTCCCGGCCTGGGCTTTACTGCCAAAAAGGCCCCAGCGCTGCTTCTTCCCCTAGCTTTCGCCACCCCCTCTGGGCCACAAGTTTGGTTTTTGAATGTTTTTGATATGATGTTTGACGATAGTGGACAAAGGAGGCTTCATCAAGCCAGGTGGACGCGGACTCCATGGGCATGATGAAGCACCTCATCAAGATGCGCAGTCGTTTCAAAGAGGACTTGGCCATGGTGAACTGTTAACTCTTAACTTAACTCTTTTCAATATAGTTTTGGTGCATGTTACTTGTACTGCTACATGAGATGTGCTCAGGGCATACCCTGTTCGTTTGGCTGTTTGGCGGTGGATTGGTCTTGGTGACTCCTTCACTCCGATGGTGCTTGGCACTTGGCGCCTCAATGAGCTGGCCTGATCTGGATTTACCACTTCACTACATTACTGAAGCAGGAGCAAGGAGCAGGCAGCAGGCAGCTATCCAGCCAGCCGCAGCAGCAGCAAACCAACAGGAAACCAGCAAACCACAAGCAACAAACAGCAGCAAAATGCATGGGAAGCAGGGAACATAGGTGGGAGCACGCTTGAAAGAGAACATGAGGACGAGGATGAAGCTCAGGAGAGAAAAAAGGGAGGGGAGGATACTTCGTAAAAACGAGGCCGGCGAAGGTGCGTTGTGTGAAGTAGAGAGGTCGAGGTACATCAAGTGGAGAAACTTGATACGAATCCCACCACACCAGGCCACGGCACAATTGCAAGAAACTGACCCAACCCGAAAATCAGGTCATGGAGGATCCTGGTCCCAAACCCGAGGCCTTGCATTTGTGCCTTTGCAGCTTAAACAAATGTCGCCGATCCGGTTCGCTTTGCTGCTGCTGCATGCTGCTGCTGGCTTGCTGGTGTTGCTGATTTTTTGCTGCTTCTGCTTTGCTGGTTTGCTGCTGGTTTGCTGCTGGTGCTGCTGGTTGCCTGGTTTGCTGCTGCCCTCCTGGTGTGCTAGTGCTGCTGGTCTACTGGTCGTTTGCTGCTCCTGCTGCTGCTGCTGCCGCCGCCTGCTTACAAGCCTTTCGTCCACCTCGCTTCTCTCAAGTATAATATGTGTAGTAATGAGTCATGAGTGCATTTGCTTACCTAAGCACGCAGCAGTGACATTAATTACACGTACACGGTCGCCTAGCCAGAAACACACGTTTGAGTATGTACATGCATGTACAACACTTTTCCCATGTCATGTGTCCGTCCACGTTTTTGCCACTAATGCACCATGGTACCTGACTTGATGTTGATGGGATGCTGGGCTTCGCACATGCTTTTTTGGTGGCAGGACCTCGTACTGGCCGCACAGCCCCATTGCGAGCATGTACTGGTCCTGGAAGAAAGCAACTGACAGAGTACGTTCCACTTGCGATACAGAGACAGACAGACACAGACGGAGGGAGGGACGGAGGGACGGAGGGAGGGAGGACGAGCATGGGGCATGTGTGCAGAAGCCATGTGCAGCACCTGCCATGGCGGCGAGTGAGGGAGTTGCCGTGTTGCCCCTGTGCAATTGCTGGCTTTGAGGTTTGGACCAAAGGTGACATTTTCCAACGCTTCGGCACAACCTGGAACAACTTGCACTATGGCCTCACTCAGCAGCCGAAGGCGCAGGCCGACTCACACTATCGGGAGGAAAAGCTCTGAGAAGAGGTGGGGTATTAGTACCCCAGGTACAATGACTAGTCAAGCACAAGGGCAACGAGAGTAATTTTCCACGCATCGCGTTCGTACGGGCACGGTTGCGCACCGACGGAACTTGAACAATTTCAGCCAGATCAACATTCAAAAGATCAGACCAGCAAAGTCCATTTATCATGTAGCGACTGCATGTCTTCACTCATTCCATTCCTTTGAGTGAAAACGTTTGGCACTGACCCTTTTGCATTGCATGTCCTTTTCAGGGAGGAGATGGCAGAGAGCTTGAGAGATCTTGAGAGGCATTGAAGAATAAACAAATTTGGCAGGCCTTTCTCATGCGCTTGAACGAGCGCACGGTAAAACTGCTGCAGATCTGGGAAGCTCTGATGACGGCCACTTGGCAAGTGAAACTAAGCATCCCTGAGGTGCTTAAGCTAGAGCCAGGTTTTCCCGACTTGCCATCCAAAGGGAATTGCGTTCGGCCCAGGACTTCCACTTGGTGTCAGACGAGCCTTCCAGGACACTAAAACTCCCTGAAAGTGGCGGTGACGCAGGCAGAGTTGTGCCATGTTGCAAGCTGCAGGAACAAAGCCCTGGATGGACCCTGGTTCAAAAGGAAAGAAAATCGCCATGATCAGAGCATCCTATCGATGATCCTGAAGGCTGCAGCCTCACTTTGCCACCTACCTTTATATGTTGGCATCAAGCCTTGCAAAGTCCTGTATCCTGGAGTTGAGCAGATCTGTCGTCCAAGGCCAGCATCGCGAAGTCTGGCTCATGCAACGAGCCCGACTTCAAGTGTGATCGGCTCGGCTCGGACGATGAGACAGCCGGCTGGGAGGTGAGAGGGCCCGTTTAAACTTATATAATTCTATTTATATGTATATTTATTTATTATTGTTTCTAGTAGCTATGTGTTCCTAATATAGCTTCTTGTTACTACTAGTAAGGCCCTTGCTCCTAGTAGCGATGCACTTGTTCCTATTAGTACTTGTTCAGGGCCGAGAGGATGAGTGCGGAGAGGATGAGTGTGGGCGCTTGACATTTTGCTTGCTTGGTGAGTGTGGGCGACTCGCCAGGTGCATCCGGAGCTAGGCGTGAAAGGCCTCACCGTCAAGTACATCTAAAGGACACATTGGTCGAAGCAGGTCTCTCAACTTGTGAAAGGAGGATCATCAATGATCATCAGTAGTAACAAGTGCCACGCTACTAGTAACAAGTGCCTTACTAGTAGTAACAAGAAGCTAGTAGTAAAGTCAATGTCAAAGCCCTCAAGGATGGACCACCACGTTGGCATCACGAAAATGATATTTTTCATGTCAGGATACAGCAGTATCAGTGCTCAGAGCAGCCCAAAGATGGCCGCCAGAAATGCTAACAGCATTAACAGCTTCACTCGCGTCACTGGGAAACATTGGAAGTCCATCGAGGATGCTGACAAACACACTTGTTGCTCTCACTTGGCAGCAATCTTGTAATTGTAAGGTGGGTCAACTACCAGCCTTGCCGAGCAATGAACATCGGCAAAGTTATTTTGCAAAAACCTAGAGCATCCTAGAGCTATATAAAGCTTTTCGCATACAATGGGATGGCATGTGTTGTGTTCCCACAGATTTCCCCTGACTGGGCTAGCCAAAAGTTGGGCTGAGCCTTTTGCAGTGCAGATTCAGAGGGGATAAAAAAAATGCGCTTTAAATTGCTGTGAATGCAATGTCATTCCTGTGCGGTTTTTTGAATCACATGCCCACTTGGCCAGTACGTTCCACAGATGAATTTTCGGGGATGACTTGAAGGTTCTCCTTTCAATTGATTGGTGCACGGGTCCACCCTGGTCCACCCAGTGCGAATTCACGACATCAATATTTGAGCACACAAGGACGCGACATGTCGGAATGGAACAAATGCCCCACGAAAAACCAGCAGATGGCATTTGCCAACCACACGAATGATCGTGCCTGGAAATACACTGCTTGTTCAGGCCTAGAGCAGAAGAAGCAGCAAATGCAGGCGAGCGGCTTTATCCTTTCTGGTTCTTCCTGTACACTTGCCTTTGTGGCCTGCTGGTGTGAGTTGAGTTTTTTTTGGCAGCTTGCCTTTGAGGCCCAATGGGAGATGGAAAGGAAGCAATTCATCACCCATATCGCTTGCTGTCGGGCCGGATCCTCTTTACACAAGTGCAACAACACTTCCAAAAAAAGAACTGTTTCAGGATGTTTCAGGTGCAAAACTGTCGTTCGTTTCTAAGGCAGTGCTTCAACGCTACTCCGTCCCTTTGGAAGAGGCAAGGGAATCACGTGTTTGATGTTTTTATACTTGTTGCGTACTTGTTGGTGTTTTGGTATAGACATGAGTATACGTACAAATAAAAGCATATAAATACTGTGCAATATACAGTAGTATAAGTGGATTGATATGTGTGCATATATACAAATTGTGCCACAGGTACTAAAGTAAATGTCTGATCAGAGGGACGAACAACGTGGCCATTTTGGGTCAAGTCCCTGCGCCCGAACAGTCCTCCCTGTTTTAAATCAACGGGGGAGGTGGCTGTTCCTCCTTGGGCGCAGGATAGATCCCCCACTGGACGACTGGCAACTTTGATCGACCCCCCCTCGAGGCCGTGGTCGCAGCGGTAGCCGAGGGAGGGGGCCAGGCTCGAAAAGGATCGATGCAGCTTCTCCCAGAAGGGACAGGACCAAGCTGGGCAAGACAAGCGGCCTTTTCGCAGCTGGTGCCTGCTCCGCTCGCGAAGAGATCGCACGTATGATCGAGAGCGGTGTCCCTTCAAGCGAAATCCTGGAAGCGATCCGGAGTGGTTCAGAAGGAGATCAACCCTTGGAGCTCCAAGGAGAGGTGGAAGGTCCGGAGAGACCTGCAGCAAAGTCCCAGTCGGAAGAGAGACCACTGGAGAGTTCCCGGATGGCTCCTCCTAATTGGACACTGGAGAAGAAGGTGGAGAAGCCGGTAAAGGCACTCACCGTCTCAGAGGGCTCATCCTCGGCCGCATCTACGCCGCATTTGTCATCCGATCGCTCGTCCCGGGATACTCCTACCTGGGCGCTGGGATCGGCACACTCGCCTCTCGGATTTTCCAAGAAGGCAGGTCCCCTCATCCCTCCCTCTCCGAAACCGCGGGTGCAGGAGGAGTTTGATGAGGAGCCAGGGACATCAGCGGTTGAGCCGGAGTTGGATCCCGGCAGGATCACCAGAGGGCTGGATGAAGTTGTGATCTTTGGGGAGTTCTCCAAAAGGGCAGATCGACCGCAAGAGTCCGAGGCCACAATGTGGCGCCGTATGTGCCTTTGGGCCTTCCTCGCAGGAGCCGTCCACTGGAAGAGGCTAAGCTTGAGGAGTTCCGAAAGCTTGCAACTCACCTCTTCGAGGAGCTTGTACTCCACGCGGTGGAAATGGACCTGCTTGATACGTGCTCGAGGGAGGGGAATCATTGACTGTGAGCTCTTCCATAGGTACACTGACCCCAAATCGGCCGGCGCAGCTCTCAGGTATGCTCGGCTCCTGGGAAGGTATCTCCAAGCCTACGAGACCAAATACGGAGCTCCTTCAGACGCAGGACCCAAGATCATGGGACTCGAAGCCATTCAGGCCTTCGTCATTGGCCTGATTGAGGAAGATGTGGGATTTTATACCCCGCGGAGCTTCCTGTACGCAGTGGAATACTTCGGAGGCCTTTGGGTACCATTCGCTGGGCTGCGCTCATCCCCGTGTCCGTAGGCTCTGTACAGACTACTGTATGTGGGCAAAGCCCCAGAACGCAAACCGGCGCCCTTCTTCGAGATCCGTTTCTTGGATTGGTTGGAGAAAGTCCTGTGCTGGGGCTTCGCGCAAAGGCGGCATATACCAAGCCCAGGACCTGGGCAGCAAGCCTCTTGGGAGTACATCCGGACAACGACAAGTGGTTGATCAGGTGGGTGGAGCTCCTCCTAGTGATGCATGGTCACGACTGGCGCACTCACTCATTCGTTGGCAGGCCGGCGGGGAAGTCGGAGGGATGGGAGATGTACCCCCCTCTAATCTCCGAGGACACCCTGACGGTGAAGCACGCCCTCTCGATATAGACGCCGGGAACCAGAGCATCATGCCTAGGGAGCAGGCATTGCACCTGAGGTGGCATAGCTGCAAAACTACTATGCCCACCTACATGACCCACTTCAAGGTCACCACCAGGACGGTGAGGTTTCAGGGAGCCTGGAAGGATCCAGCAGAACTCATGCCAGATTTGTAGCGAGTCTCAGATATTGGTTCTGAAGGCGCAGATTGAGGTGCTAGGCCAAATTCGCCGCAGGGCGAGGCTTGACAGTATGCGACAGCCCGACTGGGCCACGGTCGAAACCCTCACCGAGGAGGATAGGTTGCCAAAGTCCAGCGGCGCGGAACGGGGGGCGGAAGCCATGAGACACGCCTGCAGTCTGTCAGAGAACTCCCACCGGCACTGCGCGGCACTGGAGCTGAAGACCTGGAGTGGAGGAGCTGGAGGTCACCCTTGAGAAGGAGAGGGAGCTTGCAAAGTGCTACAAGGACCACGTGGTTGAGCGTGTTGAAATTCACCCAACGCGGTCGAGCAAGGGCCGGATTCGGACGACAGTGAAGCCGACCTCGTGGCGACTGACCTGGAGATGCACCACACCTTCGTGCAGTTAGCCTCTGGGACGGGAAGGATTCACAAACCTTCTCACCGGGATGAGAATGTGAGGTGCGGGAGCCAGGGTTCCCGATTCGCGGAACTCCAAGTGGACCACAGCTGGGGAGTGGACTATAAACTCTGCAACAAGTGTTTTGGAAGAAACGTTGAGTCGTCCACGTGCCCCTTGCTGTGCGACTTCGTGTTGAAGAAGAACGACCGGGGCGTCTTGTGCTGTGGGCGGCAGCGCGGAGGCGACCAAGTACCAGGACATCTGAATCCGAGTGAGCCGGGCTTCGATCCAACAAGTAGGCACAGATGCAGAAGACGACATTTGACCTGATCGATACGACGCGTCTCAAAATTATTCGGGCGCCAGCGAGATTGTTTAAACCATGTAGCCATGCAACCCAGTTCGCAGGATTTCATGCAATGCTGGAGTGTCCATTGGGGATCCATGTCCTTTCGTTTGGACGTGACGAGTGCACCTCTATTGTAGACGCATGCGCCGATGCCCCAATGAGTGGATCAAACACCCGGAGAGGTTGGCAGGAGAAGAGGGTGAAGGCAAGACGAAAATCACCCTGGCCCATGCTCAAGAGCTCGAAGACAAGGCTGTGGAGACTGGCATGCTGGAGGCCACATCGGACAGGGAGCGAACCTCACTCCACTCTCCAAGGTGCAGTCGACCTTCTTGCCGAATGGGACCTTTCAGCACCTGGCCTGGGAATCGTACGTTTCAATGGAAGTTGAATCAAGGTTGAGGCGCGCAGGCAAATTGCCGAAAGACAAACGGGAGCTGGTGGTCGGACACGGACATCGAGTACGACGTGATGAAAGCCTATGGGGAGAGAATCGTGGCCAGCCTGCGAGGGGTTACCGCAGAGGGCATGCGAAACCCCACAATGAACGAAGCACGTCGCGCAGACAGGGAGATTTTTGGTAAGATCCTGAAGTGGGTGGCAAAAGGAAAAGGATCGGTAGAGGCCGGTCTCAGCCATTACACCCGGGAGTTCAAGACAGAGCCGCTCTGGAAGCTCCTCAGCCAGCAGCCGGAAGGCCACCCCGATCAAGGGAAGGAGACTAGCAAGAGTGCTGGGGAAGAGAAGAAGGCGGGCACGACGCGGTCACGAACCCCGGAGAGAACCACCAGGGACAGACCCGGCGAGCCCCCAAAACTCCGGATGTGCATTGTCTGCCGCAAGCGCCACGAGCCACGC